AAGTCGAGAAATTTTCCAACCCGAAAAATTCGTAGACCGGACTGGGAATCAAACCCAGCCACCTTCAGCATGGTCTTGCTTTGTAGCTGCACCTTTACCGACTGAGCTAAATAGGGGAGGTCTCAACCAGTACACACACGTTAAACTTTGATTTGTAATGCTGAGCTTTTAGGGTGTTCAACACAGATGAGGCTGGTGAGCTGTATGTTGTGTGGCACGAGGGTGACGCGCTTGGCATAGTTGGCCCACAGCGACTCACGTGGCTTATTCCTCCTTCTTCAGTGAATGGACGCTAATGTGGGCTGCTGCTCGCTTCTTGCAGGCAGCCTTTTGTTGTACACTGGAGAACAATGTTCAACGCCACGCGCCGAAAGCACTGCTGATGCGGCTTCTGATGATGACTGACCAGTTAACACCACACACGGTGATTGAATAAGCACCGTTCGGCGAGACCGGATACAATTTGATTTTGAAGGTATAAAGGAAAGCACTTTTTGCAGGCGATCGGTGATAATTTTGATCACTATTGAAACAGTTGGACAGTTTTGCAACAGTGAACCATTGATAATTAATAAAGGGTATAAATATTTCCAATCGATTGGCTTTTTTAGAATTAAAATCTATCCGCTATTGACACAGTTATAAGTGGTCAAAACCTGACCACTTTTCGAAACGCGGTCGATTTTGGATTTTTGTTACTGAAAGACGTAATCTTACGTCAAAAAAGTTGTCTACGTAGTTTTTAAACAGCCCCTTAAGGTGTATGTTAGAAATAAGCTTAATCTAAAAATATATTTTTTAAATGGTATACAGTAATAACCCGATTTTTCCAGCCCTCTTTTTGAAAACCTTTTTCTGTGTTCCATGAAACCCATGCGCTTTTTCACTGGTCTTATTTCAGCGAAATACACTACCCGTCATAAATATAGAATTATTCGAAAGATTATTTAAACACTCATATTGAATATTGCATCACCCAAATAGAATATGAAAACTTTTTATAGAAAATTGATATTAAATCAATGTTTTATTCAGAAATTTGGTTTGCCTGTTATTCCAAGCCAGATTTCGGCTCCGCTCCTTGAAAGTTTGACTCGAATTTTATAGAATGGATCTTGCTGAATCTATATGTGACGGTAGTTTTTTTGACGTAGGACTACGTCTGTGATTTCTACATAGGGGTACACTTTATGAAAACCAAAAAAAAGGAACACAGTAACAAAATTATGAAAGATTTTGAACGTTAATAACTCAACTGCCCCTGGACCAATTTCAATCATTTTATCACCAATCGATCAGAAATATTTCGAAACATCATTTGAAACTTAATTATTTTTTTTTAAACATCACTGTTGAAAATTGCAAATCACCGCGTGATGAGTAGTGCACAACAAAAGGCTCCCCGTAAGCAGCAAGCTATCAAGGCTGGTCTCAACCGCTGATCGGATTCACTTCCAATCACCATGTGTGGTGGTGTCCGGTCGTCGGCAGCAACATTGCTTTTGGCGCGTGGCGTTGAACATTGTCCTCCAGTACTTAACAAAAGGCTGAATGCAAGCAGCGAGATGCAGTCCACATTAGCATCCATACAAGGAGAATGAAGCCGCACCGATATTGATCGGAATCAGTAGCTCTTCGTGAGTTGCTGTGGGCCATCTATGTCAAGCGCGTCATACTAAAGAGTATAAACAGAGAAAACCCCGCTCAAATACCTATTCCTACACAAATCAGAAGCTCCTGTTGTAGTTTACAAATAAGATTTATTATAAAAGACCACGTAGTCCTACGGCACCATTGCGTACAACCCCATAGTGATGTACCTTGTAGTTTTTTATCATGCAGAATTTTTAAGAAAACCGGGTTGAAATGCTCAAAAGTACCCATTTTCTTGGCAATTTTAATAACCTGTTTAGTCAAGTTGGATTCATACACCGTCCTTTGGAAGTTAGGCCGTCTTTTGTCTGGTTTTACAAATTTTCAATCGCATTAATCTTTGCAAATAAGGCTTAAATCACGATTTGAGGGGCGATTGAATCTCCAAATCTTTGAACCCATTAATAGCCATTGCTATTAGTTATACGAAGTGTCATAAAGGAAATATGGCCTTAATGGTGATTTGAGGAGTGCTAAGATGTTCGATATGTTTCTGCCCGATTTTCTCCGTAAATTTAGCCTTAATAATGATTTGGGTATTCAAAATCTTTAAACCCAATTAGGGGAAATGGCTCTAATGTTGGTCTATGGATCTAAGATTCGGCCCATCTCTAACAATCTGCTATTTATCAATTTTATCTTGATGACCGCGTCATTGGGACGGTTCTTATGGATATTTTGGTCGCTGTATAAAATTTAGTCGAATCCATTTCCCCTATATCCGTTTTCTAAACAATTTTGCTAGCTAATAAATTTTAACTTTACGTATGGATTCAACAAGGCCCATTATATAATACCCAAGCCAAACTTTCTAAGAGTGGCGCAGAAAATCAGTTTGGCAGGGAGGCAAACCAAATTTCCATGAAAATACGTACTTGTGTATTTAAACCCGTCAAAAACTGTACGTGTTACAACAATGCTGAGAACATATTTGAATTCTATTAAATAAATTGCATTTGGTCAAAGGGTACAATACAATATTCAATTTTGCCGACAAGTGTTATTGCACGCTAAATGAGGGAAAATTTACTGACACCCACCTCTTCTCAATCCTCTTACTCTTAACTAATAATTTACCTAACCATTTTTTTTCCAGAGTAAATTCATGCTTCTCCAGATTTGCTTTCTTCAAATAGGGGAAATGGCACTAATGTTGGCCTATGGATCTAAGATTGGGCCCATCGCTAAAAATCTGCTATTTATCAATTTTATCTAGATGAACGCGACATTGGGACGGTACTAATGGATATATTTGGTCGCTATTGAAAATTTAGTCGATTGCTGAATGTATGTATGGGCCCAAATTAGGGGCACTTAGGCCGACATTGCATCCATTTCCCCTATGCAAAACATTTTTGCAATAGATCATCCCACAGTTGCGGCACAGGTCCATTGGAAGTCTTCCTCCCACGGCTCCTGGATCGGTAGGTTTAATTAAAAGTCAATTACCATTACGGCTATGAAACGCAAGACATTCATGATGTAGGATTGCTTTTCCATTATTGCATAACTGTGTTCAACGTGCTGTTGCTGTTATATGTGTGCCGTTATGATGTGTGTTCGTCGTTGGAGCTGACAATGGTATGATCCGGTATGTATGCATGTGTACTTTCTAAGCACACTATAAAACATATTAGAGTATTATGCATGTAGCGACAAGAATAAAGCGACACCTGTACTACTGAATGTAAATGGAAAATCTTTCTTAAATTGTCCTCAATATGATTTTTTGAAAATCAGATTGAATAACAATGGTATAGGTTATAGATGTTTGGCTTGGCATTCTAGTTTAGACCTAGAGCAAGAGCAAAACCGTACTATAAGCGGCGGGTTCGTAATCCCGATCGAGTAAATGTTCTGTACTGACATTTTCTCTATCAACACATAGGGTGAATAACGACTTGGGCAATACTTTTACTTATTATCGCAACGGGGTAAAAGAAATCCTTGAGGTTATATAATGTTTCAGAACAGTGATTGGTCAAATTTAAGCTTAAAGATTCTGTTTACCCCCTGTGGCAATAGGTAAAGGTATTATCGCTGTCGGCATTTCTCGTTTTACAATGTTTAATGAACACAAAGCTGAGGGCAGATATACGCGTTCTTAAAGTTAAGGTGTCCCATCTTACATTTTTTTTCCGTTTTCTTTTCCAATCATGAAAGTTCGCTTACATATGCGAGCCGCATTTCCCTACTACAAACCAACCCCAACATGGAACAACATGGATCAATTTATTCTCATTGAAACCACCAGATACATAACACAGTAAACACATAGCAATACATTCATCAACTATTCAATAACAACATGCGCGTCTTTTTGTAACGAACAACACGTAGTGACAATGAGAACAATGGGGTTGCACACGTGGATATGGAATGCAGAAAACCCTCTATTTATGCGGGGGGTGGAACCGTCCACCCTCCGCTATTTCTCGGCTGTCCTTCAACCAATTGAGCTGATTTTCGGTAGATGGTTGACAATAATCACACACACAAAATCAGCGTATTTCAAGCTGAACAATGTATAAGGTCCACAGTAACAGATTCTATTTGTTGACTTTCTCACGGCCATGTTAAGACATTCCCAGCTATTTTCAGCACACAGATCTTATAAAGGAGCTATTATCTAGCTTCTAAGGGAGCATCCATAAATGACGTAGCATATTTTTGATCAATTTTAGACCCCTCCTCCCCCCCTCGTAGCGTATTTGGCTATATCTAATACATGGCCGGTCACAAATTATGAAACCCCCACCTCCCCCCTCAAATGCTACGTCATTTATGCATGTTCCCTAATACGGCAAACACGTCAAGAATCGGTTTTGTACCCACGTTATTATCCAACGAGAAAGTCGCTGAAGAGAATCGCTCAATGTTACTTAGGACCTAATGCATTGTTCAGCTTGACTTGGTTGAAGAACAGCCTAGGCACAGTGGTGGCTGAACGGTACCACCCACCGCATAAATGGAGGAATTACAATATACGTTTCAATGAGCTCCATCATCACACTCTAAGGACAAATGTACGCATGTCATGTTGATGATTACACGTGTTTGTATGTACATTCCGAAAATGCTTTGAGTCTAAAAAAACAGCGGCAGCCATCCATCGAATGAGTTGATTAGACAAACAGTTTCGAGTAGAAATGGGAAAATCACCCACATATTTCAACGGAAATGTGGAAAGTGCACTTATGACGAATGAAAAACAAACGGCAAGACAAATTTGATGAGGAAGCAAGGCAAAAAGCATCTCATTTTCAGCGAGGATTTGAGGAGGCAAATGTGAGGCGAGGCAAGGGGAAGGGGACGTTCGTTGTTGACTCCCAAAAGCCTTGGCATACCTGGCATCGGTTGGTTTGTAGGTGACGTCATATTTGTCAACTGGCATCGTGTGCGGATCCATCGAGGTTTGCCATGAAACACGGACCGAGGTCGGCGTGAGGAACGTTACGGTTATGTTCTCCGGTGCACTAGGAATCGAACCTGTGGGCGAGAAATGGTGGAGAAATATGTATCAGAATAATTTTGCCGAATTGTACCGTGAATAATTTAAACTTGTTGACCGAATTGTTTGGTGGTATACGAGCGTCACTTTGAAAATTACATTTTTGCATAAAAGACATGAGCTATTCCCAGAATCAGGTACATAATTTTCGGTCTTGGACCACATAGTTTTACATTGCATGTTTGGGTACGGTTACATCAAGGGTAATATCAGTTTACTCATATCGGTTAGTTTTTTTTAATCAAAAGAGGTTGGAGCAACGGCTTCGAGTTACTCAATAGCTTTAATTTTCAAGAAAACCAAATTCTTGTATTGGAAATAGCTATGTATCTGAGAGATCCAAATTTCAAACTAAAAATGATATCCATGCTTTAGAGATTATGATACAGAGTGTAGCTTACTATAAGAATAACACTTATTATATTTAAAAATGCATTGCAACTTATTAGGACAGTCCACCAAAATACATGCATTATGAGCATGGGGCCTCCTTTCGCTCAGTCGGGAAAAGCACAGCTACAAAGCAAACCATGCTCGAAGTGGCTGGGTTCGATTCCTGGTCCGGTCTAGGAATTTTATGGGTTAGAAAATTTCTCGACTTCCCTGGACATATAGTATGATTATACTTGCCACTCAATTATACTAATGCAAAAATTGTTAGACATCAAAAGCTCTCAATTATTAACTGTAGAAGTACATCTATAGAGCACTAAGTTGAGAGCTCACAATAAGCTAATATGTGATTAGCAATAAGCTTTCAATGCGAGGAAGAAAAAGATGAGCATGATTTTTTTTTATTATTTTGATTGTTTTATTATGAACGTGCACAGTCGAACTCCTGTCTGTATTTACAAGTTGTGTTATCCATGGAAATTAAGGACTGCTTCAGTTTTATTTATTATAAAAATATATTACACTTCAATTTTAAACAGCTTTATAAACAGCCGGATGATTATGTTTTTTTTTGTTACTGTTGAAATGTCAAATACTTTCGGTAAGTAAAATTTCATGAGCTCTTAGAACTTGTGAAAACCTTTCTTAGCATAAATTCGTGACCTTAATCGGACCATTCGTGCAAAAGGGTACAAAATGATGGTGTCATGTTACGAAAATTCAATGAAGATGCAAGATGATCCAAAAATCACTTCTTACCAAGAAATCAAAAATATCTCCAAATGACAAAATGACAAGCGATCAACGAACCGAATGATATAACTATGTCAGAATTGGAAAGCAATAATGATATAATCTTCTTCCTTCTTTTTCATGACAAGCAGCCCGTGCGACACAGCTCACTCGGGGCGGTAGAAGGAAACGAGCAAATGGTTGGCAAGCTGCTTATTTGATTGAAACCTGCATTAATAACAAGCTTAAATTGTCCATCAAAGTATAGGCATCTTAACTCAAGCTTACCAATCAGGCTAAGACCTTGATATCCTCTGCTGTCCAAGGAGGCACTCTACTCAGTCCATGGCCACATGCTACCAGCCTCGTGGTCTACGAAGCGTCCACGATCGCCTTCTACCTGGTCGATCCACTCTGCCCGCTGCGTTCTCTTCTTCTTATTCCTGTTGGGTTGTTTTCGAGAACCATTTTCACTGGGTCGTCGTCCGCTCACCGCAGTCACCCAATTTTTTCAGTGTGGATGATGGATGGTTCTCCCAGCAGCTGGTGCAATTCGTGGTTCATTCGCCTCCTACATGTTTCGTCATCCATTTTCACTGCACCGTAGATGGTACGCAACACCTTCCGTTCGAAAACGCCACTCCACTGGTCCTTCACGTCTAGGTCTCGTGGTCGTAAAAGACCACCGGTGTAATCAGCTTCTTGTAGATAGTCAACTTCGTTCGGTGGCGCGTCCTCCGAGGTCCATAGAAGGCACGATTAACTGCCATAATGCGTTTTTGAATATCTCTGCTGGTATCAGTTTTTGACGGTCACCAGTGAGCCCAAATACACGAACTCGTCGACCACCTCGATTTCGTCAACGGTCAATCTAAACTAGACGTGGGAGGCTTTCATTGTTTTCCCTAGAACCTCTTCCTTTCATGTATTTCGTCTTCGATGCGTTGATGGCAAGTCCAATCCACCTAGCTTCAGCCTTTAGTCTTATATACGTTTCCGCCATCGTCTCAAAGTTCCGTACCATGATGTCGATGAAATCGGCGAAGCCAAGAAGCTGGATGGACTTCCTGAAGATCATGTCACTCGTGTCTATCATAGCTCTTCTGATCACACCTTCTAACGTGATGTTGAAAAGCAGACACGAAAGTCCATCACCTTGCCGTAACCCCCTTCGAAATTCAGAGGGACTCGAGAGTGTCCCCGATACTCGAACAACGCACATCACTCGATCCATCGTAGCCTTGACCAATTTCGTCAGTTTATCCGGAAATCCGTACTCGTGCATAATCTACCATAGCTGATATCGATCAATTTTATCGTATGCGGATTTGAAATCGATGACCACATGATGTACGGGAACGTTGTATTCGCGGCATTTCTGCAGAACCTACCGAATCGCGAATATTTTGTCCGTGGGCACCCATAAATCCCGCCCGATATTGCCCCACGAACTCACTTGCAAATGGTGACAGGTGGCGGCATAGAATTTTGGAGAGTACCTTGTAGGCGGCGGTCAGCAGTGTGATCATGCGGTAGTTGGGGCAATCCAACTTGTCACTCTTTTTGTAGATTGAGCATACGATGCCTTTCAGTCACTCCTCCGACAAATGTCTCCGCTTTCCTCCTTCTTGGCAATTACACAGTACAGCGCTCCAGCCAGTGTTTCACCACCGTATTTTAATAGCTCACTTGGTGGTTGATCTACACCAGCTGCTTTGTTGTTCTTCAGCCGACCGATCTCCTGCGGTAGCCTGTCGTCTTCTGCTCCCAGCCCAAGTAACAATTTTGGTTTTATGAGGATTCTGTAGAACACGATTCAGACTTGTAGAATGCTATAAAACCTCTATAAAACTTGCAATGTTACTTGAGAGGTCTGTTTCCGTGCCACCTTCGTTTTCTGTTGCATCACCGTAGAGGTGCTCGTCATAGTATTGCTTTCACCTCTTAATCACCTCACACTCGTTCGTGAGAAGGTTAGCGTCCAAGTCCTTGCCCATATCGGCACGTAGCCTTTGCGCGAACTATTTAGCTTCTCGTAGAATTTCCGTGTGTCGTTTACACGGTACAGATTTTCTATCGCCTCGCGATCTCGGTCTTCCCGCTGACGCTTCTTCCTTCAACACACCGGGATTTGTCTGTTCCGTGCTTGTCTGTATCGCTCCACATTGTATTTCGTGCGGTGTTGCATTCTTCTCCTCTAGTAACAGTTTGCATTCGCCGTCAAACCCGTCATTTCTTCGGTCCGGGATCGCAGTACTACTTATGACGGAACGGATGCCCCTCCAACCATCTTCAAGAGTACCTGCGCCAAGCTGCTCTTCCGTTAGTAGTGCAGCTTCCAGCTGCTGCGTGTAATCCTGGGCAACTCCGGCATCTCGTCTTCACGGCGGTCGACATCGACGGGTATTATGCACCATCGAGAGTTTTGAGCGCATGCATACTGCAACTAAATAGTGGCCCGAATCTATGTTCACACTGCGGTACGTGTGAACGTTGATAATGTCGGAGAAGAATTTCCCGTCGATTAGAATGTGATCAATTTGGGTTTCTGTGTGTTGGCCAGGTGGCTTTCCGGATATCCTTGTGAGGGAAAAAGGTACTTCTGACTACCATACCACGGGAGGTTACGAAGGTCACGCATCATTGGCCATTGTCGTTCGATACGGCATGCAGGTTGTTTGGTCCGATTGCCTCCCGTCCTACTTTTCCTACACTTTTCCATACGCTTTGTCCTGTCCAGCAAAGTTCCTGCAGTGTTACGGCCAGGGTTGCCAAGTGATTTTTTGAAAAATCTGGCTGTTCTGTAATAAAAAGTCTGGATTTGTCTGGATGTTCTTGATAGTGACGATTTTTTAATAGATGTTAATTTTTTTCAAGGTGTTCACATTTCTTTTTAGCAGAACGATACCCTAGCGCCACACATGTTTTAAAACAGTTTATATAACCTTTGTATGACTGGTTTTAGTTGTAAAGCAGTTAACTGAACATAATTCTATGAATTTGTGTTACTTGGGTACGTTTGCTATTTTATGACATAGGGGAATTTACGTATTCTCGACAACCTAAGCAGCGACCTTCTTTCTATAGTCTTTTTCTCTATGGAACGCACACATATGCAGTATTGGTTTGTTTACAATCTTTTGCTGGCAGCTGCTCTAACAATTTCAGTCGAAAGAATTGTCAAATACTGTTTTGAAACGCTTTTACAAAGCTCCAATCTTCTCTAGTGAGAGCGAGTATTGTCGGCAACCAGTTTTTCTTCGGCAACCGTTCCATTTGAACTGCATGTAAATCTACTGTTCTATTATCGGCAACTCGAAATCAGCTAGAATTTGTAGTGCGTGTGTTTCATTTCAAGAAAACCCTGCTAGATTGCTTTTTCTCAGTGGTAAAAATATAGTCAAATTGAAGCTGAAAGCATAAAGAATCGTTTGCATGCATTCAGCGAAGTGTTTTCGTAAGAAAATCCAGTGAAAATAGTGTTTCAATTGGGGTTGCCGAAAATAGTCTGTCATGCCGAAGCCATCATTTCCCCTACTTTGATAAAATATATTTGATGATCAAGGAGTTATTATCATTGCTGTAAAGGTACAAGCCATTGGTGATAACGTTAACATGATTATTTGTAACCAGAATTTCATGCATTGTCGAAAAATATTGTCTGTTTCAAGATTTTGTTCAATGGACTGGTGTAGTCTAGACCGACTGGTGGTCAACCCAGCTAAGTGTGCAATCATTACTTTCTCAAGCAAGAAACAACCGACTATTTTGAACTACAAACTACTAGGCACGACTATCGAACAGGTGCATTGCGTGAAAGACTTAGGCGTTTTTCTGGACTCAAAGCTGACATACTCATACCATATAACGTATGTCGTCGCCAAAGCATCCAGAACTCTTGGTTTTGTCTTCAAGATTACTAAGAACTTCAAAGACATTAACTGCTTGAAATCGCTCTATTGCTCTCTCGGAAGATCTACGTTGGAATACTGCTCTGCATTCTAGAGCCCGAACTACAATAATGGGGCCGAGCGAATTGAATCTGAGCAACAACGTTTTCTTCGCTTCGCGCTCCGTAAGGAAGATACCCACTTCGTCTTCCAAGCTACGAGAATTGCTGCCAATTGATCAATGTCGAGTCCTTACGTATCCGAAGAGATGTTTTCAGAGCCTTAACCGGCGCCGATACTCTGCAAGGAAGAATCGACTGCGAAGCAATTCTGCAACAGGTGAACATTAATGTTCAACCTCAATCATTACGCAACAGTCTTATGTTAAGACTTCCACTTCTTCGAACTAATTATAGTTTAGGAAGCGCTGTTTACGGCTTGCAGCGAGTGTTTAACCGAGTAGCGTCGATGTTCGATTTCCATTTGACACGGAATATACTTCGTCGAAGATTATCTGCCAGTATTTTTTTACAACACATCATTGGGACTATTTCTAGTCTGTTAATGCAAACAAATTAAAAAATATATTTAAAAAAATAAAAATTAAAATTTACATTGAATTCTTTTTAGAATTCTCCACACAGTCGGTTGAAGGAAGATGACGAGTATGGCAGAGCTAAAATACTTGAAATAAACTTTCTTAGTTGAGGAAATGGCAGCTCAGTACCATATTTTGTAGTGGCAAAAGATAACCACATTGCTTGATTCATCAAGAAAACTATTCAAAAGGTTTAGATTTGTCAGCTCCATACATTTTTAGTCATCCACCTAAATTATTTCCCGAATCCCGAAGAATAATACTTGCAAACGTTCCGTGAGCAGTCAAATCGTTTGATGCCTCCTTTCATTAACATTGTGAAGCAAGGTGAATTGAGAACTCTGGAAAAATCTGGACAAATCATTCCATGAGTCCGGAAGGTTGGCAACGCTAGTTACAAATTCGAAATTGCGTGGTTGAAGTTCGTCATAGATTAACCTACACACTTAGAAAAATTCATGTAAATTTAGATGCCCTGAGACTGACATATACGAGCGTCAATTTTGACATAAAATTTAGTCATAAAAGACGCGCAATTCAGCTGAATCAAACGTACTTTTCGTCGAGCACCGAACTTTTCAGTGTCGGAGCACTTAATTTTACATGACATGTTTGTTTACGTCTCATCCTTTATGTCAAAGATCGATTCCGTCACGTGTAAAATTAGGTATTTCTAAGTGTGTATCGCAAAGCCCTTAGGTGCCGAATGTTCCGATTTGTATTTCTTTCTCGGTATTTGCAACTTTATATTTTTTCCAGGGCGACTTGCTGGTTTCACCGGGGGACCACTGTGCACAGCTCTGTTTAGAATCCCAGGCTGGCACTAGAACGATGATCAGCCGCTCCTTGCATGGAGAACATCAGCCATTTTGAGCTGCACTTTCATGGTGAACAGACGCTCAAGTTTGATGAAGCATTTCCTCTATAACCGTACTTTGGTTACAGTGCCAGTGTTCGCGTCATACCTCTTCACTTAGCTATTGCCAGACTGGCAACATTTCCAAGGCACAATTGCCTACATCACGCCACTCAACTGTGTCCATGTTTCAGCTGGTAGTCTTTTGTTATAATATGACTAGGGCGGCGTGATGTAGGCAATTGTGAGGACCAGAGCTAGGTACCCCGCACCTTCCAGATTGTCAACTCAACCATTTTGAAGCAAAAAACTTCACTAATCGAGGGAGTTTTCAAGTCTCAAACGGCCGTTCCGAGTCGTTACTGATTATACCGTCGTGGGCATTGGTACCGAATTTTCTTGACAACTGAAGGTCTTCAGCGCGATTTTACCACACGGCTCAAATGATTCGGACCACTACCTTGGGAATCAGTGATTTGTGAAGTGCTTTTCATCAATCAGTACGTGGTCGATTTGTAATTATGTCTTTAGTTGTGATCTCCATGTGTACTGATATGGGACGCTTTGTTGGAAGTATGTTCTACGTATGACCATATTCGTGAAGGCGGGAAATCGATGATCCTGAGGCCGCAGTCATTTGAAAGCTGGTGTGCGCTGAGCTATCCTGATCAACCTGATTATTGAATCTCCGAAAATTGATTCTGACGTCATGGCTTGGGCAGTTGTAATGTTCTCATTCCAGCTGCGCGTAAATAATGTCTTTTTCAACATCGTCACTATATAAAGGGTGTTCCACATCAAATTGCATTACGGAAAAAAAAGATGTAGAAAATTACCTAGTTGACCGATCCTTTTCAAACTTTCAGTCTCATCATCCATGATGAGACAATGAGGCTTTGTCAGCATCTGGGTGTACAGTTTCCCACCGTTTTTTGCCGTTCGTCACGATTTGGAGCCTTCTGCACTTTATAAGTTTGCAGTCCCTTCCGGTTCTTGGCTCTCTGAACGAAAGATTTGGACATATTCAACTTTTTGACACATCCCTGACCGAAGCATTGGGATTCCGCTTAAACGCTTTCACGACACTAATAAAACATCCATTCTGACCGTATTTCTCCTTCCTTTCCGAGTTGTTTTCCGATATCCCGATGAGAGAGTTGAGGATTTTCCAGGTGCTTGCGCAAA